TGCTCCTTTTGGATACGATAGCCCTACAGTTCGGACTCCTGTGATTTTGAATCTGATCTCACAAGTGTAATGTGAAATAGATAAACACAAAGAGTCCAAATCCGGCAAATCTTTTAGAAAATCGATTTTGAATAAAAAATGCCAAAAATGGACTACTTTGCCAAATTACAGAATCGCCACCTAAATATTTTTGAAAAATTTAGGAAACCCGAGACTCGTGCCAAAGGCCACTTATCCATCATCACCAAAGTGTCTCGGCTTGGGAACTTAGGTACGAGAGGGGAAGGTCATGAATTGAGTACCCCACTCATCCAATCAAAGATCGGCCTCTACTAATCATGATGTGATTCTTATTTATAGTATATGCTCTTGTTTCGATTATTAGGATAATTTACTATGTGATGCACACAAGTATAAACTAATTTGCAAATGTTGGAACATTTTGATCTTATGATTGTTTTGAAAATTGTTTTGAATATGCACTACTTGAAAAAGCGATCTCATATGTACATTTAATCAAACTATCCCAATTTGAGCAATTAACATTCATCCATTGGCATTCAAATAAGGTATATCACTTAAGCATTTAGCCTCATGAAAAATATGCTCAACATGGCAACAATCACACCCATGCGATATGCTAAAGCAATAAACGCTCACCTAGTACTCCAAGGCAAGCCAAACAAAGCAAAAGAATTAGAAAACATGCATGTTCCTAACTAATGTAAAATGACTAATGCAACACATGCGATAATGTAACTAATAGGTTCGGCTACTAGTTATGACATGTGAATCAATTTGATAGTATGTGGTTTAAACACGTTTTCAAGGAAGAAATAAATAATAATGTGAGGTAGAATGATACGCTGAGCTTAAGGCATGCAAGACAATGGATGCAAATCATGGAAAATGTTAAATGAAATATGATGCTCTAGATTATCCATCATGAGCAAATAAATAAAAGGGAGAAAGATGTGGGGTTGGAAGACATGCACGCATTATTACATATTGGCCCTCGCACAGGAGGGTCTGAATAAATGTCCTAGCTAATTTAAGCTAATTAACTAGCTATTGCAAACCAAATGAAATGAATTAACTATACTAGCTTCTTATTACAATTGGAACTAATTGATTACAACACAAATATAATTGATACAAAGGACAACTAGGTAGTTATACTATAGGATTAATTAAGCTAAGTAATTAATTATTCTAACTAATCAGCCCTGAGACGTAAGGAATGCTCATGCGTGAAGGCGGTTTCCACCCGAAAATGCCTTTGTTTTGCTGCAAAAAAGGCTCTATTTCACAGGCAGAAAATTGCATTTTTTGCCTCAACCACTGCTCTGTTCTACAGAGAAAAGGGACACTGTTCGGCTAAAAAAGGTGGCCGGCCGGCCAAAAGAGATGGTCGGCCGTACAGAAAAAGTGGTTGGCTGGCCACAAGTTTGTGTTGCTGCCCTGTTGCAACAGACAACAAACAGAGCATTTTCAGGGGATGTCTATCCACCCTACCTCTCCTTATCATCAAATAGCTCAATGGAAGGGTAGGCTCGATTTGCAAGTCATCAATCAGCATAAATTCATTGTGTGATGACTTATGAGCCAAGGGGTACAATTTCAATAAATGCACAATTAAAGACTCATGAACCTCCTCCCTATTATGACATTGGTCAAGGGAAGCAGTCGATATCGACTCTTGAACAGTTTTCATCACTAATAAGTATGAAATGGCCTAAGACTCAACGGGTTTCAACTGACGTCTGGTTGAACCCCAAACCATATTATTATCTTATTCCATTTTTAGCCCCAATTTTATTACTCCATTTTAATTACCTTTCCATTCATTAGTCAATTAAGTCCAATAATGAAGATTGAGTCCACTAATGGGGAGAAGTACCAAACAAAAGGTTTTTTTGGGCATGAGAGAGATGTCAGGTCGTTGGTAATAAACCTCCAAGGAGATTAAACCCTTAAGCATAATGATCTTTATCTCAAGCTTAAACAACCAATCGGTTAAAACAACTCTCAAGGCAATGAAAAGCCAAGAAATGAGAGAGATGCAAAGGTGATTAAAGATGATCACAAGTATGGAAAGCACTAAATAAATGCTATCAACTCAAATAGGTTGGTGTCAAATGCCTAAAATACCAAACTTATGAGGACTATTACACTGCAAGCATGTAACACAAAGCATAAATGAAATGAACAACTAAAAACAGTCTTATATTAGCTCAAAACAGCGTTGGAATTAAAGTGAAAATAGCTAAAAAAAACAAGTTAACATAATGGAGCATTTGAGCAAGTAAACAAGCATAAGGAGGGGTGGCTAACCCCTCCATTTTTGGGACTTCAAAACACTATTTTTAGCCTTTGAAAACCTCTAAAATTCAGTGGTAAAAAGCTCAAAAAAAGTTAATGAAAAGATGGGAAACACAAAGGTAAAAGCCTAGGAAGCAAGGTTTAAAGAAGGGTGGTCAACCCCCTACCTTTAATGACCTTAAACTACAAGTTTCAACCCTCAAAAAAATAGTATAAAAATAGTTTAAAAACAACAAGAAAGTTGGGGAAATAAGTAGTGTAAGGATTGCACAAGTAATACTTCTTAAAGAGGAGTAACTCCTTTGTTGACAAACTGGCAAGTTCTCACTCTCAAGAGTTGAGATTTGAGCTCAAGAGCTTCAGCAAGAAGAGCTAAATTTTTGGTTTAGGAAATGTAGAGAGAGAGTGTGTAGGTTGCAAGATAGAAAGAGAGTGTTATGTAAGTTTTGGAGTCTTTTGAATTTTTTTTAACCTTAAACCAAGAGGGAAGGTCCCCTATATAGAAAAACATGTTTCTTAGTCGAAAATATCCATATAGAGACAGCTAGTGTGGTGCATGCACATGGGAGGACAGCTGGGTGTAGAGACACCCCTACGGGCTTAATAACTCAAGTTAAAGAGGCTACAAATCCAAACCAGTGAAGTTTTTTTATTTTTATTTTTTTGTGAGAATCCAGGCTACTCATTTAATCTTTTCTACAACACTAGCAATTATCAATGATGTACACTAGGGATTAGAATAAAGGGGCCACCGCTATGAAAGTGTGTTTATGTGAATCAAGGCATACTCCTGGCAAGAGTACTAATGCCATAAACACAAATAACTCTCATAGTGCAAACATCACATGCGAGTATTTACCCAATAAATTCTTTTCATATAAGTCCACTATGTTCCCCAATTAACATATTCTTATATCACCACCATACTGGCACAAAGTGAACATCAAGTGAAGTGGTGCAATCAAGTGCAGTAAGTACAAACATGAATTGTTTTTATAAATATCCTCACCCCCCCCCCAACTGGAATACAACATTGTCCTCAATGTAAGCAATTGTAAAGTAGATAGTAAAATGAGAGAGAGTAGATCTTACCAGCCGGCGTAGGCACACATCTAGCGAGGCAAGGACGAGCCAAACACACACACGCGTGCACATTTTTTGGGTTTTTTTTTGTTTTTTGTTTTTTTGTTTTTATGTGAGGATGAAGATCATGGACAATGATGATGAACAAGGCTAAAAAATCACCATTAAACCACCAATGAACTAATATTACAAGTGAAAACTAAGAAATCTAAACAAAAAAAGGGTGATTACCTTGAAAAAGTAGGAAGAAAAGAAATGAAGAAGAGATGTAAATCTGCTGGAAAAAATGGTCGCCGGAAGGTCACCGGTTGTAGAATATGATGATGCTCTAGTGGAAAGGTGGTGGTGAGAAAAAAATGAGTGAAGGTTGAAGGAAGAAAGGTTGGTGATGGTGGGCGTTTGTGGGTTTGTGAGTTAGAGAGAGAGAGAGAGAGAGAGAGAGAGAGAGAGAGAACAAAGAAGATTATGAGAGAGAGAGAGAGTGTATATCTCTAGGACTTATTCTCTTCTTCTTTTTTATTTTTATTTTTTTTATAAATAAAAAATAAAATAAAATACAATAAGTAAATATAAATAAATAAAATAAATAAATAAACAAACAAAAATTCCACAATTTTTTTTGAAGAAATATAAAATAAGTAAATAAAAATAAATAAATAAATAAAATCTGTAGGAATTTTTATTTATTTATTTTTTGGGTGGGCCGCTCGTGCACCCATTTGGGCCGCATGCGTGGTGAATTATCAGCCGCTTATGCAGCAGAATTGGCCCGCTCCAGCGGCGTTCAAGCAGTACGCATTTGGGCCTGGGCTGCTCATGTGACCTGGGCCACTGATCGTGCGCCTTATTTTTATTTATTTATTTTGGATGGGCCACTTGTGCACCCATGTGGGCCGCACATGCAGTGAATATTGGCTGCTCCAGCGGTGGAATTGGGCTGCTCCAGTGGCGCTTGCGCAGTATGCTCTTGGGCTTGGGCCGCTCGTGCGCCTTGGCCCTTCACTCAAGCACCCATGTGTGGACTCTCCATTCGTGCACCCATTTAGGCTGCATGTGCAATATGTTTTTTTTACAAACCCAAGTACAACCAAAAAAAAAAAAAAAAAAATTCAAACCATTTCTACCTTCATTGTACATTTGAAATAAAAATAACACTTTGAAAACATTTAAATGCTTAACAAATGTATAATCTTCAAGCGAAAACCATGAGTACTACTTTTCTCCCTGACAATGTTTGTGACTTTCCCTATTTTTTAACAGGGTGACAGACTAGGTTAATTCGGTATCTAGAATCGCGGTGCATAAAGCTAACTGGACCTATAGGGTTGCCATACAAAGTTTAAGCCCGGGTGATTTTGAAGTAATCTCTACACCCTTGGGTATTTAAACCAAACTTTAGTCTTGAAAATTCCAAACCTTTATATTCTAGGCTTTACCATTCGAAACTCTAGTTTCCACCGTCTCAGTTGGTCTCCTAAGAACTCACTAAAACACAGTTAGGTGGCTATACCAGACTGTCAGATGCCGTTTAGACACGACTAACACCAAAGGAATTACACCTTTAAAGGATTTTATGTCTCCCAGACTCAAAATAATTACAATGAAAGATATATTGGGTCCTTTAAGTGGACCACCTCAATCATCTCCTCTTTCTCAATACTATCCACATAATGTTTCAATCGTTGGCCATTGACCTTGAAGGTCGTACCATTTTGTGGATTTTTAATCTCAGCCGCCCTATGTAAAAATACTTCGATAACCTCATATGGGCCATCCCATCGAGATTGGAGTTTACCCAGGAACAAACACGATTTGGCATTGAACAACCACACTTTTTGGTGAGGCTCAAAGGACTTACAAGAAATGTGTTTATCATGAAATGCCCTAGTCCTAGCCTTGCAAATTTTGGAGCTCTCATATGCATCATTGCGATGCTCCTCTAACTCATTAAGTTGGAGTTTCTGGTGGTCACTGGCTTTGGCCATATCAAAATTAAACTTTTTAAAGGCCCACAAAGCCCGGTGTTCCAAATCAACAGGGAGATGGCACGGTTTCCCAAACACAACCCTATATGGAGACATCCCGATGGGTGTCTTATATGCAGTGCAATAGGCCCAGAGTGCATCAACCAACCTAGTGGACCAATCTTTCATATCGGGCCTCACAGTTTTCTCGAGGATGTGTTCAACCTCCCTATTAGAAACCTCTACATGACCACTAGTCTGAGGATGATAGGGAGTGCCAACTTTGTGAGTGATCATATATTTGCGCACCAATGCCTCAAAAAATCGATTGCAAAAATGTTTGCCACCGTCACTAATTATGGCACATGGGAACCCAAAACAACAAAAAATGGTTTCATGGAGGAATTTAACTACAATTTTATGGTCATTCATTCTGGTGGAAAGGGACCCATAAAGTTGACGGCCACCAAATTGTATTTAAATCCAAAAGATGGTGGAAAGGAACCCACAAAGTCGATGCCCCAAACATCAAAAATCTCAACAATCAAAATAAGGGTCATCGGCATCATGTCTCATCGTGACATAGAGCCCATTCCTTGACAAGGCTCATAAGCTCCACAAAAGTTATGGGCATCTTTGAAGATAGAGGGCCAGTAGAACCCACATTGTAAAACCTTGGTGGTCGTTTTCTACCCACTAAAATGGCCACCACATGCATGAGAGTGACAAAAGGTGAGAATGCTATGGGTTTCACTCTTAGGCACACAACACCGAATCACTTGATCCGGACAATACTTGAACAATTTCAGGTCTTCCCAGAAATAGTGCTAGACTTGTGAGAAAAATCGGTCTTTGTCTTGCTTAGACCAAGTTTTTAGAATTTGATTAACCGCCAAATAATTCATTATACGAGCAAACCACGAGAGGGTCACTTGTGACCTCGCAAACAGTTGCTTGTCCGAAAACGAGTCGTGCAAGGCTAAGGGATCACTCATGTGCTTAATAAGGATTCTGGATAGATGATCCGCAATGACATTCTCGGATCCCTTCTTGTCCCGGATTTCTAGGTCAAACTTTTGAAGGAGTAGAATCTACCTAATCAACCTAGGCTTGGCCTCTTTTTTGGACAGTAAGTACCGCAAAGCAGCGTGGTCAGTGAACACGATGACTTTAGACCCTAGGAGGTTGGATCAGGACTTATGAAGTGCAAAGACAACAGCTAATAACTCTTTCTCAGTGGTAGTGTAGTTTAATCCTAAAGAGTACGACTAGCATAGGATATAACATAGGGCACTTTATTCACCCTTTGGCCCAAGACGGCGCCGAGGGCATAATCATATGCATCACACATCATCTCGAAAGAAAAGAAAGAGCCACTTGAAGTGTTTCAAAAGCTTTCAAACATGCATCTTCAAAGATAAAAGACGTGTCCTTAGCAAGTAAACTACACAAAGGACATGATATTTTGCTAAAATCTTTGAAGAATCGACAGTAAAAACCTGCATGCCCTAGGAAAGACCTAACTTGACGCATTGAAGTGGGTAGAGGAAGGCCTGCAATGAGGTCAACCTAAGCTTTATCTACCTCTATACCTCGAGGGGACACAATGTGTCCTAATACTATACCCTTGCAAACCATAAAATGGCTCTTCTCCTAACTCAAAATACTGAGTATATCGTTCCAACACTCTAGTCAAATTTCTAAGGCATTCCTTAAAAGATGGTCCAAATACTGAGAAATCATCCATGAAAACCTCTAAAAATTTCTCCACCATGTCGGGAAAAATGGCCATCATACACCGTTGAAAAGTCGCCGGTGCATTGCATAGCCCAAAGGGCATGCACTTATAAACAAAAGTACCAAAAGGGCAAGTGAATATGGTCTTTTCTTGGTCAGCGGGGTACACCGAAACTTGATTGTACCCCGAGTAACCATCAAGAAAACAATAAAAACCCTACCCCACTAACCTTTCAAGAATTTGATCAATATATGGCAATGAAAAATGGTCATTTCTAGTCATGGAATTTAGTCTCCTATAATCAATGCACATTGGCCACTCGGTAGTGGTTCGTGTGGGGACCAACTCTTCTTAATCATTCTTACCAACAGTAATGCTCGATTTCTTGGGCACCACTTGTGTGGGACTCACCCACTTGCTATCCGAGATAGGGTATATAATACTCACATCTAACAATTTCAACACCTCATTTTTCACCACCTCTTTCATCTTGGGATTAAGCCTCCATTGCATTTCACGAGAAAGTTTGGTGTCCTCCTCTAGATGTATATAATGCATGCACACGGAGGGATCTATCCCTCTCAAATCAGCCACTAACCACCCTATAACACTTCAATGTGCCATGAGAACACTCATTAATTGACTTTCCTGCTCTGCAGTCAAGTTAGATGCAATGATGACTGTTAAAGTATCTTGAGGCCCTAAAAATGCATACTTGAGTATGGCCGGGAGTGGCTTTAACTCAAGTGTAGGTGGTGTGACTAAGGATGGTATGGTGGGCTCTCTAGATAGAGGAGGAAAGGACTCAAATTGGGCTTTCCATGGAGGAAAATCCGATGTAGGAGGATAATCAAGTAAAGTATTCACTTCCTCAACTGATCTGTCCATATTAAAATCCTCAAACCCAAAATGAGCTAAACAAACCTCTAAAGGGTCCTCTACAAGAATGGAGGGTAAAGCCTCATCTACTATCTTGCTCACAACATCTACAAATAAGCACTCCTCTCTCATGGGGTTGTTGGGATGCTTGGAAAATATTGAGTTTTTCTTGCATATTCCCAAATGAAACATCTATAACCCCGATACGAAAATTAATACATGTGTTAGCCGTGGCCAAGAAAGGTCAACCTAAGATCATTGGGATTTGTTTCCTAGAGCTGGTTATCGGTTCCATATCTAAAACCAAAAAGTCAATAGGAAAATAAAACCTATCAACCTTTACTAGTACATCCTCAATCATACCACGTGGCACTTTAAGGGACCGATCAGCCAACTGGAGTGTAATAGTAGTGGGCTTCAACTCACCAAGCCCGAATTCCTCGTACACAGAGTGCGGTAACAAATTGACATTGGCCCCTAAATCTAACAAGGCCCTATCAATGAAATGATCCCTTATAATGCATACAATGGTTGGGGCACCCAGGTCTTTAAGCTTAGGGGGTGTGTCACTCAATAAAATAGAGCTTACTTGCTCCGTGAGTATGACCTTTTGGGACACATGTGTCCTTGATTTATGCTTTTGCGTACAAAGGTCCTTCAGAAATTTAGCATAGGATGCTTAATTGCCTCCAACAGGGAGAGGTTGATTTTAACTTGTTTAAACACCTCCATCATTCCTTCCATGGATGCTGCCTTCTTATTAAAAGGGGACAGTGTATCAAGGCAGTGGGAAAAGGGTGCCTTAGGCACATATGGTGCCTTAGACTTATGTGAAGTACTAGGGTCTAAGTCATCCTCTTTAGGTGTTTCTCTCTCACCCTTGCTCTCATTGGATGTACCACCATGGTCACCCTTTTTAGCCCTAGTTGTATCAGACGCAACTGGCCGAGGCTCTAACTCCCTCTCACTTCTCAAAGTGATCACCAGTTGTACTGTTCATGGTGTTTTCCATTCCCACTCGACCCCTTTGCCCCATATTGACCCTTAGGGTTGGCCACAGTCTAACTCGGTAGTTTTCCCTCCTCTCTCCTATTCATGTTATTAGCCATTTGACCTAATTGGGCCTCTAGCTTGGTAATAGAGTAAGTATGAGAGTGAACTACTGGTGCTAACCCCTTAGGTTCTGAGAGAAGTTCCAACACCTGAGTCTCAAAGGCCGAGTTGCCTTGAGGAACAAGCGGGGGTTATGGTTGCCGGTAAGGTTATGGTGGTCAGTAGGAAGATTGGTTGGCAAAATTATTAGAATTCTGCCTTGGTAGTGGAGGATTGAAAGAAGTGCCTTGTGAAGGAGGTCTCCATGAAAAATTAGGGTGATTTCTCCATCCCGAATTATATGTGTTGGAATATGGGTCATTACCCGAGTTGGAGAATCCTTAAGCCACATTCACATGCTCTTGGACTAATTCTGGAAATTGTGATGCCGAAAGGTACTCACTCAAGTCATGAGTAGGGCTCGCACAAATAGCACATGCCTCGTGAAATTGAGGCTGATCTTGCTGTGTAGAGGCATGTCCCGAAGCTAATAATTGGTTCATTTTGTTGGACAATGCCTCTACTTGTTAGGCTAACTCTAGGTTTTTCCCTACTGCATAAATGCCCCTGGTTTTTGGGGCTCCAACTACCGGTTACTAGACTTTCCAGGCTGTGGAGGCATGGTGAAGGGAATTATCATTTAGGTTCTCAAATAATTGCCATGCCTCAGCGTCATTTTTGGACATGAATGTCCCACCACAAGAAGAATCCACCATTTGGCGGTGAGGCTCAGTTAAGCCATAGTAAAAGGTTTGAACAAGTTGCCAATTAGACACTTGGTGGTGGGGACACTACTGGAGAAAGTCATGAAGTCTTTCCCATGTTTCATGAAATCGCTCGCCATCTATTTGACCAAAATTGGTGATGGCTCGCCTAAGTTGGTTAGTCTTACCAATGGGAAAGTACTTCTCCAAATTTTTTGTTGTAATTGGTCCTATGTTGTGACAGAATTAGCAAGTAAGGAGTTCAACCAATGTTTGGCTTTGTCCTTTAGTGCAAATGGAAATAGTCGCAACATTAAGGCCTCATTTGTGAAATTCTGGATCCTCACTATAGAGCAAATTTCCAGAAATTCATGTAGATGTTTGTAAGGGGTCATCATGAGCTAGTCCATGGAATGATGGAAGCATTTGGATGGTGCTGGACTTAATCTCATAATGAGTAGCAGTGGTGTCAGGTAAATGAATGCATGATGATGATGTATATGCAGTGAGTGTGAAGTAATCCTTAAGAGTCTGGTTGGGTACATTTAGGCCATTCGGGTTCGCAATCTCTATTGGTTCGAAGTATGGATATGGATATTCAAGCCTAGGAATACGGGAAGAGGCTCTAAGTTTCCTAAGAGTCTTTTCTAGTTCAAGGTCCAAACTCCACAATTTAGGGCGACAAGAACGGTGCCCGTGGATACACCACTCACACATACACACTAAGTTCCGCCTCTGTGCAATAAGTTATGAAAGAAAAATACCAAAGGGAAAAATACTCACAGCGATTTAACAAAAACGTTTTACTTGTCTTGAGGGTGCTTGACGTGTAGACTGTTGTCTTCAACCTCCACTTGAGCTCTCTATGTTTAGCACTTTAGTGC